ATTTTCCCAAAGTGTGGATAGATTGTCGTCAACGTGTTCGCGATTGTCGTCAGCTGTTTCGATGTCACCACTTTCACCGTGGACAAATTCTGCCTTACGGAAACAGTTTGCAATGGAAGTTGACTTGACTTTGATCTAAGACGAGTGTATCATGTCGATGGCATCTTTAATGTTGATAATCGGCAGATTTTCACCGGCATCAAGGAATACAAGCATTCTCTCGACTACCCGTCTTCTGTAATGACTTTTGAAATTTCTTATAACGCCCATATCCATCGGCTGCAATTTTGACGCTGTGTTTGGCGGCAAAAACACAAGTTTGATTGATGTCAGATTACTTACGACAGGATGGGCGGAACAGTTGTCGACAAACATCAACACTTTTCGTTTTTCAAAAGTGAATTTTCTGTCTTGTTTTATATGAAGCCAGTCTCGAAGTAAATCACTGTTCATCCAGGCTTTTCTGTTTGCTGCGTAATCGACAGGAAGGACATCCAAGTTCACATTTTTAAAACACCTAGGTTTCTTTGATTCACCAAGGACGAGCGGTTTCAACTTTTCTGAGCCATCCATGTTAGCGCATAACATCACTGTTATTCGCTCTTTACTCTTTTTATCGCCAGAACAGCTCTCGTTTTTAAAGGCCAGTGTCTTATCTGACATGAGTCATCAATGGTAGTCTGGATAACGGATGCAGCCTCGCCACACACAGATTTAAATGTGATACCGTGGCGACCTTTAAAACGTTCCAACCAGCCATTGCTAGCTTTAAATTCAGGATGACCCAGTTTCTCTGCAAATATTCAGCTTTGGCTTGTAATACTGGTCCTCCGATAGGAATATTTTGCGACCGTGCGGTGGTGAACCATTTTAGTAGCCCCATCGACAGCCGAGAAACGAAATCGTTTTCGACTCGGAGCAAGCTTGCTGTGTTCGAACATCTCTTTTATCTGAGATTTTTTAGCTCCGCTGTCGACTTTGTCGAGCGGAGCTTATCATATGAGTGATTGTCCGTCGTCGTCGTCCGTGTCAATGTTTTACTTTTTTGACTTCTTCTTGAAAACTACAAGCCTGAATGCTTTGATACTTGGTGTATATGTACCTTGGGTAGACCTCTCTTAGGTTTGTTCATTTCATGTTGATATCTTCAATTCTCTAATTTTGGTGAATATTTTTGTCATTTTTGGTAAAAAGTGATATTTTCGACTTCTTGTTAAAAACCGCAAGTGCAATTGCTTTGATATTACATATATAGGTACTACATGTGGACCTCTCTCAGATTTGTTCATTTTGTAATGATATCTTTAATTCTCTAATTTTGGTGAATA